TTATAGGTGGTCGCGTCAGGGTTAAAAAGAACTAAAGAAATGCACCAGAATTGTTCAATATATTCTTGTTACTGTTTGTATTAAAAGTGCTTAGTTGGAATAAAAACGCATAGTGAATACTTTTTGCCGTTCTATTTTTTCATCTATAGTATGTGAGACAATAGTAAATGTATATAGATTCGTAGCTCAGTCGGTTAAGAGCATTGATGAAGAATATATCCTTTTAGTTGCAGGTTCGAATCCTCCACGAATCTTTTCAATTTTTTGAAAAAAAATAGGATCCCCTGCAAAAAGTATAACTTAATTATTTCATATGCTACACAACTAAAAAATCATTTTCCAAGAAAACCGACTCACCCGTAATACCGTCCAGCATGTTTTTTACGTTTAATTTAATTTTCACAGATGCATGTTTTTACGTTCAAATCTCTACAAATGCATCTGCTCGTCAAAAAGTAAAATATCATCAGGTTTATATACTGATCGAGATAATAAAGAATGATTTTTCTTCCTCTCCAAACAAAAGCACTCCAAAACATTTCAGTCTAAAATTCAGCAAATTCTTACAAATTTCCATTTCTAATAAAGGATTTCACAAAATTTCACTCGCCCTTTCAATAAACAATCAAAATAAAAACATTTTTCTCTCTTCCCTTATTTTTATTTTTCCGTCTGCATGAACCAAATGCTATATAAACAGTCAATTTTGCGACTATCAACCATCATTCTTACTTACGAGCATTTACTGAAGAAGAATTCGAAACGTGTATAAATTCTCGTATACTTCCATTTTTTTTATATATTCAACATTCATCGTCGTATTTTTAAAAACATATATTTTTATATTAAAACAAAAACAAAATATCACCAAAAAAAACACTTCATTATTTAACCAAACGTCCGTATCATTTCCATTCTTTTTTCACCCTTCGTGCTTTACTTCATCTACTGTACTTCTCTTAGTACACAAAAAAATCAAAAAAAAACAATTTTCGAACAATTGGGTAAGTCTTTCTTTTTTCTTTCTTTTTCCGCTTTAATTTCTTCTCCTTCGATTTATCATTATTTGTCAAACACCACCGATCGGCGTGGATCCCGGTCCGTTTTTTCCCTCTTGCAAAAATCTCCGTGGAAAAAATTCGAAAAAAATCAAAGTTGTCTTAAAATTCCGAAATAAAGATTGTTCAATGCAGTTTTTAACGGTGATTCCAAATATGATGTTAGTTCTGAGAAAAAAACTGAAGTTTGATGATGAAACTGTAAAATACGAGTGCATTTTCTTGATTTTTTTCGCATTTGAATATAATGAATTGAGCCAGTGATATGTAGAGTTTGTTTAGTCAGAACATTGTAGAGCTTTTCAAGAGCTATTTTTCTACACGAAAGAGTAGTTGTCCTCCTCCTTTGTTTCTCGTATAAAAAAATGTAAGTTTCCTCTTTCAAATGACGCAAACGGGAGCTCTCTAGCTACTCTATGTCCAAAGCTATTAAAAAACAACCGAGTCTGCTCCTTTTTGGATAGATAATAATTTGCCTTGTTTAATAGAGTTTCATATCTAAGAAATATTGTTTCTACCTTGGATCTAGCCATGAACAAATTTCATTGTTGTAACGGTGGCAAACTTCAATACACTCCCGAAGTTCTTTATTGTTGGAACTTAATATGTCAAAGAAAAATCAAACGTAAATCGAAATATTATTGCAAAGCTGATCCAACCGGAGATCGTATCGTGATATGCACGAAATGCCATGAACTCGGAAAACAGTTGGAATTTCAAGACGCTTATGATGATCCAAACAGTTCATGGACACTGATGAAACATGATTTTGCCAAAGACGAAAGTACAACGTCGTGTTCTCTATGTTACCGCCAGTATCATGATGCATGTATTTTAATTGTGAAAGAATTATGGCCAGAAAATCGTTATATATGCACTGAGTGCACAGTTCTTATACCAAGGCATGATCCACAACACGTTTATTCGGTTGATGCTCTACCAAAATCGATAATGAGCGAATACATTGAAAACAAAATACAACAGTTGATGAGTAGTGCAGATTGTTCAAAACATCAGAACATTTACGTACGTGTTGCTTGTTCGCATGATAACAAGTTCGATACCAACAATGATTTAATAGAATTGTACGAAACTGGCATACCAGCATCACACAGATATACAAGTCAAACCATATTATTGTTTCATAAAATAGACGGAATATCTGTGTTATTGCTTATAATGTATGTTCAAGAATACGATGAAAAACAATTCGTCAGCAATAAAAAGTAACTGAATAGCTGATTATATTGTCATAAGTTCTAATGTGGGTTTTATTGTATTTTTAGTCGGATTATGATATCGTACCTAGATACGGTTAATTTTCGCTCGCTAGGTGATGATCGACAGATGATCTATTTCACTATGATCATAAGTTATTTGGATTATATGCGACAATTTGGTTATACGAGTGTATATTTATGGGTTAGTCCACCGAAAGCTGGAATCGACTACATTTTTAATCATCATCCAGTTGGACAAAATATGCCGAGTTTTGCACGTTTACGTTCTTGGTATGAAGAATTATTAATATATGGTACTAAGCAGAAAGTTATTAGAACGTACCAGGTTAGTAGAAAATGTTAGTGAATACGATTTGATTGAATACAATACATTCACTTTTCACTTTCGCTAAGTGCAAAAAGAGAGATAAAGGATGTAATTTGTGATAACGATACCGCAGAAACTTAATAGCTAGTCTCACATTTGAAACGCTACTAAACTCAAGAGAAGCTTTGTTACAGTATCGAGCATCTGCCGTATAGAACATAACATGATCAAAATTATTTTTTATCAGAACTACTTTTATTCCATGCAGCGTGCAAAATTATTTAGAAATCCAATTGTTTACATCTAGAACAAGAAACTCAATTAGATGTCGAATACTTAGAAAAAACATGTCAAAGTCAGGACCGTTTTCTGAATTTCAGTTATTCTGAGGTCATTTGTTTACTGATCTTTCGTACAACGTCTCATACGAAAGAGCATAAAAACCTGGAGAAAATGATATATTTTTCGAATTTCCAACACCGAGCTTTTAATCGCAAAAATACTTTTTGCGAATCTTCAGTTGTTTAAAAGTTAGTTTTTCTAATAATAAAACTAACTCGAATAAAACCTTTTAATTGTCATCATGAAAATTTTCATACATTTTACAGTACTGGCAGTTCTACATAAGGTGCACGAAGCATCATAGTTAGAAATCACAGTAATGCTAGATGCATGCTACTAGTCGGATTTCTGAGGAATGTTATAATACTTGGTTTTATTTTCAATTTTTTCATGCAACTACTAGAAGAAACTTCATATTCGTGTTCTAAGGATGTATGATTAATGAATTCTGCAAGATTTTTTCCTTGTTTATCTTTAATAAACACACACTAATGCGAACAAATTCAAATTTAGGATTTGTCAGTCGAGAAAAAACGATGGAAGGCAGGTGAAGAGGTTTATTGCTTACCGTATATGGAGGGTGATACATGGCCAAAACGTATTCGAAAGGCTCTAAGTAAAATGATCTTCTTATTTAAAACGTTTTTCTAATATTGCTCTTAATTTACAGCAACAGTAAACGAAAAATACCCTTCAAAAACATGTGCAGAACGGCAACAATTATTATCGAATGAATTACAGAAACTATTTGATATCTATCAAAAGGTTCGTCTATAATTCAGTCTATTGGAAACCGAAACAAGTTAGAAGGGTCTATATCAGAAAACCTGTTTTACTCCCAAAAATAATATTGTTATTGTTCTAGGAATTCTTATTTGTATATTTAAACCCAATTTCATCAGATTGTTTGAAGGAAAGAAATGTATATGACGGACAGCCGGTATTCAGCTCATTACTTATGAACAGTCGCGAATCTTTGCTTACTTATCAAAAACAAAATAATTATGAATTTTCATCCATTCGTCATGCCAAGTATTCAACGTTAAATATTATTTACGACTCTCTCAAAAAAGATGTGTATTGTAATGAATGTACGAAACCATGTTCAATCTGGTATCATTGTTTGACTTGTAAAGATTATGATCTTTGTATGGAATGTTATTCAAATGAAAACCATGAACATGAGATGAGAAAAACTGATCCAAATGTGCCAGCAACAATACAAATATTTCCGTCAACAACAACAATGACTGCGCCTCAATCAACAACTCCGGTATGATAGTAGAATTTTACAATAAAACCGTCTTATGAGGTAACCTTTCGTACTTATTCAAAGCCTTTCTGGTTAAACTTAGATTTTCTAGGTTAGCTTTTGATGTTGATCACGAATCTGGTCTCCGTTTGTGTTCTTACCGAATTTCTGAGTGGGCCTATAGAAATCTGGTCTGTGGAGGCCCATCACGAGCTTCTAGCAAGACATTCTGATCTGGCGGATTTTTAATGCTCTTCGAGTTACCTATGTGAAAAAAATTTAAGAACTGTCGAACAACTTTTAATCGGGTTATAAAAGCTTTATCCTCAAGTACAATGAAATACCTGAACTTTTCAGCTTCTGATGTAGTAATATTTTTATGACTCGGTTAAAAGTTGTACGACAGTTCCCAAAATGTTTTCACATAGGTAACTCGGAGAGCTCTAGAAATCCGCTAGATCAGAACGTCTTACTAGAAGCTTCGTGATGGGCCTCCACAGACCAGATTTCTAAAGACTCACTCAGAAATTCAATAAGAATCCAAACGGAGATCAGATTCGTGATCCGCATCGAAGCTTTCCATATTTTTACTTATATGGGATTATAGTCCATACATTTTCTCTACAAAATAAGACGTTCCCCGACTCTGAGTAGTTCTTTATAGGCGATTTATAACATTTTTCGTGGAAGCTCAAACGGCAAGTATTTTCTACCTATTCATATCTATTCGTAAACGATCACTTTTTCCAAATTGATTGTCAGTTCGTACTTTTGTTTCAAAACTGTGACAAACCAGCACTTGCGCTGTTCTCTCTTGGTGCTGATCTATCCTAGCGCTGAAATTTTCTGTGCTTACCTTTCCGCTTGCTGAAGTTTCACCCTAGCATTCAAGTTAATTAATTCCTGTTCTTTCTTTTGTCGACCATGAGAAATAAGACATATATTAGAGCTTTAGCGTATAACGCATCTTCTTTATCTAACATACGGCAAGATGCGCACTATGTCCCACATACAGATTTCTGTATGCGACATTAAAAAGAAGAAGATAAAGCGCTGTACGCTAAAGTCTTCGTGATGGGCCTCCACAGACCAGATTTCTAAAGACTCACTCTGAAATTCAATAAGAACCCAAACGGAGATCAGATTCGTGATCCGCATCGAAGCTAACCTTGAAAATCTAAGTTTAATCAGAAAGGCTCTTAATCACTACGGAAGATTCTCTCGTTAGAAAAAAAATGAATAGGTGTGTTTGAATTCGTTCGTCTTCTATCAGAATTCAATGGAGGCGATATAGAATACCTGTAGATGAATATTGTGTATATATTGCCTGTCCTGATTCGAAGAAGAATGAGAAAAGTAACTGAAGAAAAACAGCATTATGCTAGACAAAACAAATATTCAATTCCGATGCTGAAAAGATGTATATTTTCCTCGTTCTCTTCTGTTTCTTGAATGTGTATTACGTACACACACACACACAGACATATGAGTCATCACTCTAACATTGGTGCTCTTTCTCACGCGTTCACATAGTTCAAAATATATTTGAACTGAAAAAAATCTCTCTCTTATGACAGAGGCGTGCAGAAACGAATTGAACTAAACAGGAAACACACGACGAGACGAAAACGGAAGAGTATATCATATCCTTCCTTGCATAGATTGACTCATAATAATAAAATATACGCGACGACGTTGACCGTTTATTCTCATAATTTTATTATCCTACGGTCACATATCATATGTAAACGGCCACTCACTAACGTCTCCAAGGTCAGTTTTTATTGAAGGAATGAGCTGATTTAGCCCATGAGAAACTCATACAGTTGCATTCAGGTTTCAGATATGTTTCACGGTTAAACTGATTTTTTGATATCTTTACTTTAAATCTTTTCTTTAGAAATGTATTACATGCACGATCCTTAATTCACAAGTACAACTTCTTACAACTGAACTAGAAGTTTTTCGCCATAAAATAAGCAACACCGAACTACGAGTACTTGAGGCCGAGGAGCGAACACGTCAGGCCCGGGAACGAGCACGTCAGGCCGAAGAACGAGCACGTCAGGCCGAAGAACGAGCATGTCAGGCCGAAGAACGAGCACATCAGACAGAAGAACGCGCACATGAGGCTGAACAAAACGCTATCGATGCCGAACGACTAACTGGTTGACGACTAAATGGTTGAAACATTATCGAAAATGAAAAAATTGATCTAGGTAATTCAGGTAAAAAGTCATTTTAAAGACACGAGAATCGTCTATGTCAGAAACGAAAATCTGACAGTTAACGATATTTACTTTCATAAACACAATGTTTG